CCCCCCTCCCTTTATTTTACTATTTGACCGAGACCGTGAGATTGCATCAAAGGACGGCCTCATAACGGAACAGACTAAATCACGAGGGCTAGGTACCAAGTTCAGAACCGAGGTACCTGTCGAGATCGAGGCTAGTAGCGATCGAAGCCAAACGAGACAGACATCGAGCAAGATCGAAGATATCACAATAACAGAAATGCAAAATATATGTGACTGGTCGAGGATCATGGCGTAAACCTCGGTGACTGGTCAAGAATCATGGCATAAATCTCGGAACTGATCAAATCAGAAATGGTTAATTAGCTAATCATGGGATTTTCTTCTGTAATTAGTGTTATACTATAAGTAGAACTCCTATACTATATAAAGGACAGTATTGACCATTTGTAAGACATATTTTTCTTGCATAAAAAAGCCAATATAACTAGGGGTGGGCATAAAATCCGAAAAATTAAATTCTAAACCGGACCGAATTAACTAGGTATTTCGGTTTCAATTTTTTCGGTATTTCAGTCTAATTCGGTATTATATTTTTGGTATAACGGTACGGTCCTCGATATTAGGATTTTGAAATTTTGGTATATCGAAATACCAAATTTTAAGTTGGACCTATAGCTATAGTGCCCAGCCCAAGTTGTATATCTAATGACTAATGCCCATTGCCCAGCGCCCCACCCCTAGCCTAGACCAATAAGGCCATACTAGTCTTTCACTTATCTTATTAGGGAATTAGAATTTAGAAAATAGAAAGGGAGAAAGACAGAAAGTCAGAAACGGCGATTTAGGGTTCTTTCAACGAGAAGACCTTTGAAGGTTTTAGGGTTTGCAGTGCGTTCACTGGTGCGATTTAGAGTTTGTTGTTGTGACTTCAAAGAATCAAAGGTATGTTTCTAATTTCTTCAAAGGTATCTTTAGTTTCTTCAAAGAAAAATGGATATTACCTGTTTTTGGATGAATTAGATGTATTTGGTTCGAGTAAAGACTACGTTTTTCTTTTATCTTTCTCTACAGTCAAGTCTAGTGATTTGCTGGGTTTTTGTGGGGTTTAAGATAAGTCGAAACCTCATGTTTACTAGGGTACACTGGCTTGATGTTGCTTACATTGCATATTTTAACAGTTTGAAGTTGGTTTTTCTGTAAATAAATTAAATATCATAAGATTGCTGGAGTTTGTGGAAGGAGTCAATATGAAAAACAATTGTACAAGTGATTTTAATTTGTAATTTTAAAGCTTCGATTGAAAATTGGTTTTGGTTGCAAAACTCATAGGTGACTGTAATTCATTAGGATGTATTTCTTCATTAATTGATGGTTTTAGCAAATGCAGATCATACTCAGTGTAGCCATTGTCTTATTGGTTTGTACAAGTTATGCCTTGCTAGTATTAACACTACCAAATTAACTATCTGTTGCACAATGTATTATCTAGATCCATGTGCTCACAGTAACTCATCTAAAATGATTCCTATTCCTGCTATATTTGTATTAGGCAGTGGCTAATTTTGAAGCATATTTATTGGCACAAGAGTCCAACTTCAACTAAAAGCAATTCACGTGAGTATGGAGTTTGCCTAGGAAAATCCTACTTGCCATCCTAGTAAACTAAGTCTAATTATAGGAAGTCCAAACTAATTTGACAAAAAAATTAGAAAATTGAGTAAGGTTCATTTCTTATTTTGAAAAATTAGATAGATTTCTGTAGAGATTTTCTTTTTCACACAAACCAAAACTTTTGTTGCTGGTTGGAACTAATACATGACAAATAACAATTCAATAGCTTTTATCATATAATACCAACAACAATAAATATGAGTTGTAAAAGGTGAACTATACTAGTTTTATCATATAGCTTTTGAGTTGTAAAAGGTGAAATTAAGTCTTAATTTGTGTTTATATTTATTTTAATTTTGTATAGATGGCATATAAAAGTAGAGTAAGTGATGCCGGTTCAACTGAAAGTTTACCTATTACTGAAGATAGCAACACCAACACAATTGATACTCAAGATTCTAAGAAAAGAAAAGCCATGCAACCTAGATCCGAAGTTGGCAACATTTTGATAAATTTGAGGTAAATGGGGTCGGTAAAGCAAGGTGTAGATATTGTAAGCAAGCTTATGTTGCTAATACATCTAGGAATGGAACAATGTGATTGAAAAATCATTTGGCTAGATACAAAGAATACCCACTTAACATTGATAAAGATAATAGTCAAACAAAGATAAATTTTCAATCTTGCCAAAATGATGGAGGATCACTTTGGAAATTTGATCAAGAAGTGGTTAGGAGGGCCTTAATTGAGATGATAGTTATTGATGAACTACCATTTAGCTTTGTAGAAAAGGAAGGCTTTATGAAGTTTATGAGAATAACTCAATCACTATTTCGTCTTCCTTCTCCTAAAACAATAACAAGGGATTGTTATGAAGTTTACGGTGAATTGAAGCAAAATCTAAGAAGGTCTTTTAGAGAAGCACAACCAAAAATTTGCCTCACAACAGACACATGGACTTCATTGCAAAGAATAAATTATATGTGTTTGACAGCCCACTTCATTGATAGGGAATGGAAGTTGCATAAAAGAATACTAAATTTTTGCCCTATCATTAGTCATAAGGGTGAAGAGATGGCTAAATCTATTTCTAATTGTTTGCTTGAATGGAAATTAGATAAGGTGTTCACTATTACCATGGACAATGCTTCTTCAAATGATGTCACAGTCAAAGAATTGTCTAAAAAGGTAGATATGTGGAAAACTAATATGATGAGTGGTGAACACCTTCATGTGAGATGCATGGCTCATATACTAAATCTAATTGTGCAAAATAGTTTGAAAGAAATTGATGCTTCTGTCACACGTGTTAGAAATATTGTGAGATATGTGAGATCTTCGCCTGCAAGGACCTTAAAGTTTAAACAGTATTGTGCATATGTAAAGGTAGAATGTACCAAAATATTATGTTTGGATATTCCTACTAGGTGGAATTCCACCTATTTGATGTTAGATACGGCACAAAACTTTAAAAAAGCCTTTGACAAGTTTCATCTGTTTGATGATGGATTTTCTGCTTATCAATGTTCTCATCTTTGTGAAGATGGTTATAGTGCAGGTCCTCTTGAATCTGATGATTGGGTGAATGTGAGGAATATGATAGATTTTCTTGCAAGATTTCATGAGCTCACCAAAAAAGTTTCAGGTTCATGTTATGTCACTTGTAATTCTCATTTTGAGAATTTATCTGAACTTTATTGTCATTTAAAAATATGTTTAATTAGTGAGGATAGGCATTTGAGAAAAATGGCTGAGCGGATGCAAGAAAAGTTCAAGAAGTATTGGGGTGAGCCTGAAAAGATGAATAAAATAATTTTTACTGCTTCCGTCTTGGATCCACGTAACAAATTTGAATTTGTTAACCTTGCACTTGAAGAGCTTTTGGGGGAGGAAAAAGGGAAGAAAATAAATGTTGAGGTGTATGCTTATATGAGTTCTTTGTTTGAAAAGCATCTAAAAAAGAATTCAACTGGATCTTGTTCTCAATCTCCATCTAGTTCTACTCACTACAACAAATGTGAAATTTAGCTACGAAATTATTAGTTACGATACAAAATTTGTCACTA